CTCAAGACCATCAAGGATGAGTACTGGCAGCAGCGCAAGGCGGCTCAGGCCCACGAGCGCGAGGCTCGCGAGAAGGCCCGCGAGAGAAGGAAGAATGAGGCCGAGCGCTACCAGAAGGAGCGCAAGAAGGCTGATGCCGAGAAGTTCCTCGCCGACGCCAGCGACCCCGCCTACCTCGAGGAGATCCGCCGCGCCAACAGCCTCCTTCAGTTCCTCGACCCCACCCACAAGGTCGAGAAGGCTCCTCTCCAGGCCGCCAGCGGCCTCACCGCTCAGGCTTCGCGTACCGTTGACGACTCGGGAATTAAGGGTATGAAGGTCGTCTCCAAGAAGGACCGCGACGAGGACTTCTTCCCTGCCGTCAAGAAGGGAAAGAAGGGCAAGAAGGGTGGTGCCACCGAGGACAAGGCCGGCAAGTTCAACTGCCCGCCCTCCGTTGTTGAGGACTGCGCCTTTATGGGCATCGATCCCCCTATGGCCGCTTCCGACGTCCCCGCCGTTGCCGAGAAGGTCAAGGCCAAGCTCGACCACTGGAAGAGCGACCAGGAGGCCCAGACTCAGCGCGTAAGTTCTCCTTTGCAATCATTGTTTGATTATCTCTCCATTTTGCATACTGACCCAACTTTCAGAACATTGAGAAGGCGAAGAAGCAGCTCGAGAAGCTCGAGGCTGACGAGGCCAACGGTGTCAGCAACGGCGACTCGGTCGAGGAGGTCACCAAGGACCTCAAGGAGACCTCCGTCGAGGAGAAGGCATAGTCTTCTCACTCACTGACTCCGTATACAACTTTTGCCTGACTGAAACCCACTGACTCTCAAGCCTGTCTTATCTGCCTGACGTCCTCGCGCAGATATTATGGACTGGGGGGAACGTGAACTCTATCACCTCTCTGCCTCTTTGTCAACACACACCTCCCAACCGATACACGCATACGACACACCCCTTCTCACAAAAAAAGCACCACCCTTGGCATTTAAAAGAGGAAAAAAGGAAACTTCATTCGGAATCAAAAACTAAAGGGGGGAAGATTGCAAAACCTTTTTATAAACTCTCTGGCCTGTTTTTGCGTCTTCCTAGCCAAAATTGTCCCTCGAGGCAAAGTGGCTTTCTTGTACTTAGCAGCTTTCTTCCCCCCTTGTGCCGTTTGTAGTTCCAGCCATACACTTTGAAATTATGAGAGGTAAAAAAAGAGAGAGAAAGGCTTTCTTCTTCGATTTTGTAAAAAAACACGAATGTCCCATGTTTCTATGCGTTGACTGTCACATTGAAGGCAACTTACCTACCTGAGATGTGCAATATGTTGAATGGGACAAGCTCTGCCCAGCTGTCCAGTCCAGCAGAGTAACTTGAGCTCTTGGGCCCAGCGTAATCATCCCACCTGATAGGTCCATCCTCATATCAACAAAGCCAATGGAGCACAGCCGTCGACGTCCATTGATTGGCCTGTTGTATCTCGGGCTGTCCTCGTCGGGTAGGTGTGCTTGCGCAGCAGGCGAGGCATGTCATGACGTGACGTGCTGGAAACGATTCCTGGGGGTGCGGGTGGGGGGACTTTGAAGTTTGAGCAAACACGTCGCGGAGGTATCATGGCACGAGACGAATGGTGCGCGTGTAGCCTCGGTAGTAACGCTTCGAGGTCCCATGGTGCAATCTCATGACGTCCTTTGCGTGCAGAATGATGATCATCGATCGGTCCTCTCGCTTCCCCTCCCAGTCTTTCACCACAGATCCGGTCACGAAGATGCATGATACGTGAGACGATATTTTATATGGTTTATGGATTGTTGCTCTAGCGACCGCTGGTTTGAGGGCTGTTGATCCTGTAGAGAATTCCTCCCGTAACATCCAAGAAGAGGAAAGTGAAATAGTAACCGGCCTGCGCCGTCGCAAATGCCAAAGAATGCCCTCTTTCCGTGATCCGTACTCCGGTGCCTACCCAACCAAAGAGACTGGAACAGGATGAAACCCTCAAAAAGGATACAAACGTACGAGACTCGATCACAAATTCCGGGTTGTCTCGAACATAGTAAAGAGCAAATGCGTAAAAAACCGTGGGTTCTCCAAGGCTACCGCTACGCTTTGCAATGCATATATGCCTGCTTGTCCCGCTTCAATACACCAAAAAAGACCGCTGATGCAGTTCGTGGGCCTCATCAAAATAACATCGTAGGAAAATTGCAAAGACGCCGTGATTCGTACCAATATGATATTCGAACTTCAGGAGCTTCTAGCTCTGGATGGTCTCTTTCGTCGATGTCGGCTTTCATGGGGGCCCACCCCATCCATAGTATGCGCCGGCACCTGGAGGTGCGGTTCGTCCATATCCAGGCGGTGGTCCTCCGGGATGTCCAGGGTGTCCCATGGGCGGTCCCATATGCGGCATGGGTGGCATTGACCTTCTTTCTCTTTCCCTCAAGGCCGGCGTTCTCCCGCCCATCCTGCTAGGCATCGGGGGCATGTCCATGCTGGGCGGTGGTGGTGTTGCTCTCCCAAATGGACCTCTGTCATGACTGCTAGGCGCAGCAATGGCCGGAGGTCCGCCTGGAGGAGGCCCGCCTCCTCCAATTCTTCTTCCAGATCTATTCTTGGACCCGCCACTGAGGGCGCTCAATGGGGGATCCTTGACAAAAGGGTCATCATCGGGAGGGACGTTCAGCTCGACCAGACTGAAGAAATACTCGAGGACTTCAGGATATCGTTGCACACTAGATTGCCAATCCTCGTCAATGCCGTGCTTCAATGCAGCCTGCGCCTGGGCAAGCTCGCTAGGATGAGGAGGGGCGTGGTAGTAATGGTATGCGGTGGCGTTGATGCGTTCAAGGTTAGCGGCGTGAGCTGTCTTTCGGCGCTCGGTGAGTAGACGAAAATATTCCAGGATGTAGTCTTGCGCGTGAGCCCGAACCCAGCTCCTGTGTATATAGTTAGCGAAATGTGTCCTCCATAGGTAAAGATGAAAAGCCGTTCATACCGAATGTCGGTGTATATAGACTGCATCATGCGCTGCTCAGCCTGTTTTATGGCAACATCAAGTCCCTTGGCCTCGCAGTCGCAAGCTGCGGAGGCAGGGGCGTGGCATATAGCACAGTCCGGATCCATCCTTGTGGTAGTCTTGCGCACACGCGGAGTGCGTGGAGTGCGCGGCCTGTAGTCTCTGTGGGAATATGAATACATCTTAGCGAAGGGATCACCAGATGAGACACGAGTGGTCTGTCTCTAGCGGAAGTGGAGAAGAGGTGAAGATGAGAGGATATTGTACAAGGAGGTCAAGATGGGTCATCTATTACTAGTACAGATGTCATTATTTCTCCCGAGACCCTGAGCTTGGGTCTCATGGAGAGTGTTTGGAGAGATTGGGGTTGGGGATGAGGCTCGGCAGCCAGGGCAGAGGTAGTGGAAGAAGAGAAGAGAGAGGAAAGCGGTGATGGACTGACCTGACTTAAGAGATTATTAAGAGGGGTCGGATGGTTACAGCCCGGCAGAGCGTCGGCGGTAGGGTGCGAGAGTGAGGGAGAGAATATCCGTAAGGTAGTTGGGAATAAACAAAACTAGGACGAATAAAGCGAGTTGCTCCTGTGTGTTGGTGCTATGTATCCTGCAGCGTCGAAGCATGAGACAATAAGGCAAGCAAGCAAGTGAGCAGGCGAACAGCGAGAAGCAGACTAAGGTAGGCTTCCTAAGCGTGCAAGCAATAGAGAAAGTCGAATGGAGAGTAACGAAGTCGTAGTTGCGGTCGTGGTAGACAAACGGCGGGCTCTCATTCAACGAGAGGAGCAGAAGCAGAAGCAGAAGCAGAGGATGCGGAGGAGACGTGGGGAGAGAGATAGCTTGATCCACGAGGACGCAGGTAGTTGAAGAGAGGATCGAATGGGAAGGGGGGTTTGACTGCAGCGTGAGTGTCGTGGCTCGAATGCCAGCAGCTCTCGATATGCAAGTCTTGGGGGGTCTGACGATGGCCCAATGAAGGGGACGCCAAGCGAGAGAGGTCGTCTACCCGACCAAGTCTCAATGAGCTTCGATCGGGGACCCAGTGAGAGGTGGGCTTTTGTTTCTTGAGGTATACGTAGGCAAGGTAGGTCTAGACGTCTGTTTGCCAAAGGTGACGGGCCGGAAGAGAAGGGATGGATGGTAGAAGACGATAGAAAATTGTTAAAAAATTGCAGTCAGTCGGTAGGCGAGAGGAGAGAGAGAGAGAGAGAGAGAGCAACGAGAAGCACCTCAGGCCAATGAGTGGAGGGGCAGATTATGTGTGTGCGTTGTCGCCGCCCCTCGTTTGTCCTTCCGGTGCCGTTCCCGCCTTTAGCTTTGGGCTTCAAGGCGGTCAAGGGCCAGGGGAGGAGGGAGAAGAACGGGCAAGGACAGGCCGCAAGTAGGAGAGCTGCAGCCAAAAGAAGTCGCGGGGCGGTTTGCAGTGAAGCGGGGGTACTTTACAGGACAGGAGGTTGGGTGAACCACTTCCATTACCTTAGGTACCTGTACTCCCTACCTCCTTCTCCGTATGCTGTACGGATACAACCACTGGGGAACTAAGACACCGCCGATGGTCCAACGGGAGACACCGAAGAGGAAAGAAAGCGGAGAGGGGCAGGAGAAGTCGGGCGGGTCAGCGTTTGCAGGCCGAGACGACCGGCGGGGTGGGGTGGCTGGTCTGCACCTTCCAATGCTCCTCATCACCCAACTTAGGACAAACTGCGTAGGTACCAGGCCATCAACACCACCACCCACCTTCATTGAGGGAAAGTTTGATGCACAAGAGACGAACCAGTCCACACTACAGGAAGGAGGGGGCGAGCAACCATTGTACCATAGTATACCTATCGATCAGCTGGGACCCAACGGGTTCCATCTGATGCAACGTCCGAACGTGCGCTTCCAGAACGCCAACGAACGCCTGTCCAGGACCCGGCCCAACTCTACCTTACCTTAACTTGCCTTACTTACCTTACCTACCATAGGTACGGAGCATTTCCATCGCCATATCGACATCCCTCAATCGAATACCTATGCATACGCGACTACCTTCAGCAAGATCCTCTTTGCTCCGACGATGGGTGCTGTTCTGCCAATGTCCCTACAATGTACTGGGTCATGGGACTAGGCTGGTTGGCTCACCGCATATTGCCCTACCTCATGCACCTCGCGTCTCGATTAGAGTCCGCTGCAGGCGCGCAGAACATGACCGAACAATCCCCTTTCTGTCAGATTATGGACTCGTAGAGAAGCTGTGGCAAGCCATCATTGGTAAGCTGCAGTAGCATTGCCATACCTCTCTGTCTGGGTCGGTCGAAATAATTTGCCTCACAGTTGGCCCCTCTTGGAGCCGCATCTCAAAGTCGAGAGATGAAGGAGTGACGTCGAAGAGGCTGAAAGGACAAGCGAGCTCCCATTTCCCTTTTCAGTCTTCCCATCTTCCCCAGCCAACTCTACGGGAGCTTACGAGGCAGTGCACGCTGCCGGATTTCATATGTCAGCCCCAGTTTGTTTCCCAATGATTTGGGCACTGGCCAGTTTGACAATCCCGTCCGGTCGTTGATCCTGGTCTCACAACGGTTGCTCCCGCCCCTGCCACATTATGTAATCTCGTCTTCTTATCTTATCGTCGCAGCTAAGTTGAGGCACGTACCTTACCTTACCTTACCTCAGATGGGATGGAAGCGTCCAAAATTTCGAGCTCGTCTTATCTGTTCGCATCGCGGGCACTCGGCGACAACCCTAACGGCTGCGATTACAACGACGACGACGATCGGCATCACATAGTGCCGAACGAGAGACGAACATGGCGCCAAGATGCTCGGGTGGGCATACGGTGTTGCTCCCGTTTCTGTACCCCTCTTTATTTTTTTCAAAGAGCACCACCACGCCTCGTCTTGCTGCGAGAGCGGTTGCAAGTAGTCGCCGCCATAGCTCCACCCAGGTAGCTCAAGAATCAAAGTCCACCAGACTCAACCCAGCTCCCGACGACTATTCCCAACCCATCTTCGCCGATAAAGCCTCAGTGACACTTTACGCGGGCCCCGGTGGCCACGGCTGCATCTCCTTCTTCCGCGACGCATACCTCCCCGACGGACCCCCCAACGGTGGCGACGGTGGCCATGGAGGCAACATCTACATCCAGGCTGTACACGGTGAGACGTCCCTGCACAAGTTAGCTAGGCGGCGTTTCATTCGAGCAGGGAAAGGAAAGTCTGGTCAGGGCAGCTCCAAGGGTGGTCAGCGAGGCGAGGACGTCATCATCACCGTGCCGGTTGGTACTGTTGTCCGCGAGCTGGCCAGGGAAGACCCCATTGCCGAGGATGCGATCATGCAGCGCGCTATGAAAGCGCAAAGGAAGGCCGAGAAGAAGGCCAAATTGGCCCGTCAGGCTGAGTTAGCGGAGCAAGCGAGGCGAGAGTTGGAGGAAGGCATTGAAGAGGAGGATGAAGAGATGGCGGCGGAAAGGGAGGCGAAAGCGAAAAAGCAGGCCGAGGATGAATTCGACGAGCCCGAGGACCCCGATCGCAGCAAGTTCCTTCTGTACCCTGGCCTCTCAAAGTCGGATCTGAAGACGATATCCCTTCCCAAAGCCCCTACTCGCCAGCGTCTTTACCATCAACCACCCGGCCCGATTCAGCTCGACTTGTCGCGCCCGTCTCTGCAGCCCATCCTACTCGCCGTCGGCGGCATCGGCGGACTCGGCAACCCGCACTTCACGTCGCGCGAGTTCCCGCGGCCCATCTTCGCCACAAAGGGCGAGCGCGCCGTGACCATGGAGATTGAGCTCGAGCTCAAGCTCCTCGCTGACGTCGGGCTCGTGGGGCTACCCAACGCCGGCAAGAGCACCCTGCTGCGCGCCATCACGAACTCGCGCACCCGCGTAGGTAACTGGGCCTTCACGACGCTGCAGCCGAATATCGGCACCGTCGTCTTGGACAGCTACAAGGGCCGCCCCGTGATCAAGAGCTACAAGCGGTATCCCGCCGCGGACCCCGCATACGGCGGCAGCGCATCACCCGGCGCGGAAGAGGAGGTCCTGGTCGAGCAGCGGACCCGCTTTACGGTAGCCGATATTCCCGGTCTCATCGAGGGCGCCCACTTAGACCGTGGCCTCGGCATCGCGTTCCTGCGCCATGTCGAGCGTGCCGGCGTGCTCGCCTTCGTCGTCGACCTCTCCGCCGGTCCCGCCGTCAAGGCTCTCAAGGCCCTCTGGAACGAAGTCGGTCTGTACGCGCAGATGCGCGAGGAAGAAGAGCGCGCGCGCGAGATCGACTCCCGCGTCGACTGGGACCTCAACGCAGGCACCACAAGCGGGGCCGCCGCTCTGCAAGGAACGCACGGCGCCATGATGGTCGCCGACGCACCGCCGGCGCCCCGGCAGGAATCGGGCCTACACATCGCGGCCAAGCCGTGGTACGTCGTCGCCACCAAGGCCGACCTCCCCGAGACCCAACAAAATTTCCGAGACCTCAAGGCCTACCTGGACGAGATCAAGCAGGGCACCGCGCCGCACCCGAGCGGGATCGAAAACGCCTGGACGGACAACGTCGCCGCTATCCCCGTCAGCGCCATCAATGGCCAGGGCGTCGATCGGATTGTCCACTGGACTGTGGGACTACTTGACGAGTAAAAGGGGGGAAAGGACAAGGGAAGAAGAAGAAAATTGTATCATATCATTTTGTATCACTACCACTGTATAATGCCACTTTTGGAAGAAGCGTACCGTGCTCTTCCAGAGAACTTGCTTCCTTGGTCTAGCCCCTGAAATTGGCATGCAAGTACCTGATTGATACGAATGTTTTGTACGGAAAGAGCGAATAGCAGCATGTTGCAAAACTGCCAAATTTATCTGGATTGGATACAGTAAGGCATCCCCGAGACCACGGTAGGACCGAAGGGCTTGTACCATTTAACGAGGAAGGCCCTTTGGTTGCAATCAATAAGCAACTAATGAGGGAATTCACACTCAGATGTTAACAAGAAACTTTTGGCATTTCATTCGTAATGACTACTCCGTCTAGGGCGACTCTAATCGCCTTGATGGTGCGGAGGTGCTTCCATCCAACTCATTATCCAGGGTTCGACTATGTGCTCGTAAACCCAAAGCCAGGCAGCAAAAAGAACGAGTTGCTGCTCAACCGTAAGCGGTCGACCTTCCAATCCGTTTCTGCCTCCCAAGGGTACGTGCCCCCAAATTCCAAGTCAACCCAAGTAACCATTAGAATATTATAGGGTAAATAGTGATCATGCTGAGACCCGATCCTCTTCTGCTCCCCACGAAATCCTTACAACATGGCGAGAACAATTGCACCAGCCAGAACAGCAACGCTGAAGGTCGTCGTGGTTGCACTGCTGCCAGGGACAACCGTCGGTCCCGTCGTGGGAACGCTGACGGTTCCATTAGTACCGGGGCGGCCGGTGCCGGAACCACCTCCGGAGCCACCGCCGGAGCCAGAGCTCTGAGAGGCAGACGGTGAAGCACCGCCAGTAGCAGTGCCGGTAGCAGCAGTGCCAGTCGCAGTAGCACCTCCGCCGCCGCTTCCACCCGAGCCACCATCAGTAGTAGGCACCACAGTCGAGAGAGTCGTAGCGGTACCAGCGGCAGAACTCTGCTGGCTTGAGCCTGAGCCGGATCCACCTCCTGTAGCAGTAGCCGTTGCAGTCGCGGATGCTGAAGCTGCGCTGCTGGCCTGGGTAGAGGCACTAGCAGACGCGGTGTTTGTGGAGGAGGCCGAGGCCGAGGCTGATGAGCTAGAGCTGATGTTGTCGCATGAGAGGTCGTAGAGAGGTTTGGTAGTCAAGGTCGAGCCAATGACACCGAAGCTGGGGTTGGGTGTTGTTGGAGAAGAGTCCTGGAATGTGTACCACCAGACATTGGTCTTACCGAACATGGGGCAGCCGACGTCATTCCAGAACTTCTTTGCGTTCTCGAGAGATGGAACGGCAGCGCCGACAGTCTTGCCGCTGACGGGCCAACCAGTCTCAGTAACCCAAACGGGCTTCCCACCAACAGCTCCCTGGGTGGCAGCCAAAGCTTCGGCCCAGCGGTCCTTGCCGTCCGAAATGGAGTTGGGCTTGGTGTCCTCAAAGTAGGGGTAAGCGTCCATTCCAATCCAGTCACAGGCATCGATGACCGCCTTGTTGCTGCCATTAACCCAGGCGGTCCATGTGTCGACGTGACCGATAGGGGCACTGCTCAGAGGCGAGTTCTCGATGACTTCTCGGACTTGCTCAAAGTACTTGACGAGAGTGCTGGGCTCGGCGCCAGAGAATTCGCCGTTGGCAATGCCGGTAGGCGAGTGTCGGTAGAGGTCCTCGCTGCCGACAGAGATACCAGCAACCAAGCCGTTGAGCTGACTGCCGTACTGAGAGACAGTCTTCTTCAGAGCCTCAAGCTCGTTGGCGAAAGCAGCATCACCGGCAGAGGCCCACAAACCGAGCAGAAGAGTTGTCTTTGTGGAAATGGCGGCGGGAATGGCAGAGATGGGATCATTAGTGCTTCCTCCCTGGACCATGGTGTAGAGACGAGCAGAGGTGAAGGCGCCATTGGTGCCCTCGAGGCTAGCTGCGGTCTTGAACTCGGATTCGAAGTCTGACTGTGCCTTTGCTTTACCGTCGGTGAAGGTAGATCCGTAGTTGAAGCCCTGGAAGGCGCTGGCCGTAGCCGCGGCGTATACAGCCGCCAGGCTCAGAGAGGCGCGCATGGTTGTGATGTCGAAGGAGTGTTTGCAATGTTGCAACAGTGACGATGTGATGCAAGGTAGGCGAGATGATGGGAGTTGGCTGGAATTGATGGCAAGGTCCAAAGTTACCGTTGGAGGAGAGACTGGGCACTCTGGGAGGAGTGTTGACTACGGGTAAATATACAAGAGTCAGGCAGGTAGATCCAAGGTATTGCAAAAACGAGAGACGGAAGAGTGAGGTTGTCCCAGAGTCCCGTAGGTACAGAGCAAGGTATCGTGAGTGACAGTGAAGGTAGGTAGGGGGGAAGAAAAGTGATGAAGTCAGTCGGGCGATGAAAGGGTAGAAAAGGGAAAAGGCAAGTGACGGGGAAGGGCAGAGCAGGCAAGGAGGGATTCCCCAGACAGTAGGAGGGATGCTTGTTCAGATCACATCACAAGCTTGGGAAGTTGGGGTGGTGTCCTACAGGGTTCCCTGTTCTTTGGGCCTCTCCATCTTCTTTTCTTGGGAAAGCTCTTCACTCTCGAGTCTCAACAAGAAAAACATTGAAGGACGGGACGGGTGTAAAAGTCTGAAAGAGGCAAGTAAAGAAGCCAATTGAGTGGTGCGACCACACACCAACTTGACAGCACTAGTGTGTCTCTTCCTCATGCCCTCACTCCATCAAAACAACATCGAGGGCGCCACCATAGGTTCCTGAGAAACAACAACACACAGTCATCGCAGTCTCATGCAGGAACGAGCCAAGGTGAGGTCACTGGTGTGGCCCGTATTCTCTACACAACAAGCTTAGCACCATACAAAAGTGTGCTATAAGGTATGGTCTTGCCCCTGGAACGACGGTGGCGATGAGGTCACGCCGGGCACAGGGCAAGGCATTCGGGGCAGGCCCGGTCGAAACACCGACCCAATCACGGCTGCCATCCTATTTTACCGGCGTCCCGGGCCTTCCCATTGCTCCCAACTGGGACGGCCGGGTCCCTGCTGGCTTGCCATATTTAGCAGTCTACACCCACTATTTTCTGTCCCCATGTCCCTGTCGCTGTCGTCCGGCCAGGCTGTGGCGCCCCTCCCCCGTATTTTCCAGCAACCACCATCATTGATGCCCCCTCCCGGATGACCAACATAAACACCTCATCTCTACGTATGCGGGACATTCCATTCGGGCCATAACACTGTCGCTCACTACTGTTTACCGAGTTGTTATGGTGCCGTTTTCCCGCGGGGTTATTCTGCAAAAATGCGAGCGAGGCTTTGATGTGTGAATTGAATGATCAGCAGCCTCTCGATTTGCTCATCCCGTTCCAAGGTGTTGTAGTGTCGCTGGCAACTATTGCCACAAAGCGAACAACACGCTGAGGCACCTACGCACCTGTGCAGTAGTTATGTCTTGGAAGAAAGTCTTTAACTGCAGGAGAAGTCGGTTGAGAAAGTATCGAGTGTGCGAGTCTTGACGACGGAAAGAAGTCTTGAGAAAGCCACAGAGCAGGTAGCCGGCGTGACATCTGCAGGTACCTATGCAAGCAAAGCGCCTGCTTCCCCGCCTACTATGCAGGGGCCCTGGGTAGTAGGCGCCGGGGCTGATTCTGGCTGCATTCTTGGACCTTAATTCTGCAAACAACATATCTTCTCATTGATCATTCCGGCAAAAGAAAACCTCACAACTTCTAAGGCTTTGTTGAGAAACTTCTGGCATTGCAGTCTCAGTGTACAGATACCAGTCGACCAACTTTAGCGCAGTTATTACCGGAGCATTGCCTCCTGGTCATACAAGGCTATCAGTAAGGTACTGCCTGTAAGACACAGGACTTTCTCGCTATAACAGAACCATAGGGTCTCAGTGCTTGATATCCCGTACCATCCCATCTAATAGCAACTGCCCACATCGAGCCGAAGTTAATGGCCATCCCGTCTCCAACTGGGAAGACCGACAGAAAGTTGATAGATGTGAGAGCCGAATGGACTTTGGTATCTCTTCATTGACAGCCGGCAACTTCGGGAGACATTTGGCAACACCTGTCAGCCTATCACATTTCTTAGTCAAAGTCCTAGATTCCAAGAGCCCAACCTGGTTCACCGAACGTCGTCAGACGGGTAAAAGTGGGACGGGGAACTAGGCATCTTCACGCTGTCATCATACCGACAGATAATCACCTTGATCGACTTACGTTCTCAAAAGATGCCAACCAACGCTTATCGCGGGGACGTACCGCCATGGCAGAATACAAGGCAATACTACCCATCAGCCCTCAAGGGTAAGAAGAGGAACGAAAGCACCGGCATCAATCACAAGAATTGAGCTGACATCCTTAGGTCCATCATCTCGGACTCCAACGCGGCCCCCGAGCAAAAGCCAGTTGTCCGTTTCACTAAGGTGAAGCTATCGCGTACAAGCACACGCAAGGTACGCACCGGGTGCATTACCTGTAAGAAACGTCACATCAAATGTGACGAGTCCAAACCACATTGCGGCAACTGTCTGCAGACCCGCGGCCACTGTGAAGGTTATCTCCCGGATCAGAAGAAGAACAAAAAGCCCTCAGGGCCCGCAGAGCTCTGTTGGGATTCTACCCAGGCCATCATCCCTCGAGTATCAGCAGTAGCAGTAGCATCGCCCACGGCGCAGACGAAACTGCACATCAACACGGTCGACTTCCGCGATGACCACAGCATGACCTACTTCAAGGAATTCGTCGGCCTGGTTCGAGGCCCCTGGATGAGAGCTGCCTCTACTGGCGATCTGTGGGAAGTCATGCTGCCCCAGCTGTCCCGCAACAATGGCACTCTCCGCTCCGCCGCCATGGCCATCGGCGCCTTGAGCGTGTGGTACCGCCAGTCCGCCCATATCTCCCTCCATGCCATCACCGTACCCGACCAGCCAACCGCCCAAGGAGACTTCCATTACTTCCAGGCTGTAGCCCACTACTGCGACTCTCTCAAGATGCAGTG